CAAAAAGGAGACAAAAAAGGAGACAAAAAAAGGAGACAGTAAAAGGAGACAAGAGACAATAAAAGGAGACAAAAAAAAGGAGAAAAAAGGAGACAAAAAAGGAGACAAAAATGGAGACAGTAAAAGGAGACAGGGGACAATAAAAGGAGACAAAAAAAAAGGAGAAAAAAGGAGACAGTTAGGGTACCTGTACTATTATAAGGGTCTGCAGCAATACGATCACAATCAAAGAGAAGGAGACAAAAAGAGACACAAAAAGGAGACAAAAAAGGAGACAAAAAAAGGAGACAGTAAAAGGAGACAGGGGACAATAAAAGGAGACAAAAAAAAAAGGAGAAAAAAGGAGACAAAAAAGGAGACAAAAAGGAGACAGTTAGGGTACCTGTACTATTATAAGGGTCTGCAGCAATACGATCACAATCAAAGAGAAGGAGACCCTGATTAGACATTTGTCCTTGTATATTATTTATACAAATAATAATAATTATATTTAAATAATAAATTAAATTAATTGTCTCCTCTGTATATTTTATTGTCTCTTTTATACAATATAATATATAATTTAATCTATTTATTATCTCCTTATTACTATATACTCTTATTATTAATTCCTTCCCTGTCTATATATATACATACAAGGACACAATAAAAAGGAGACAAAAAAAGGAGACAATAAAAGGAGACAATAAAAGGAGACAAAAGGAGACACAAAAGGAGACAATAAAAGGAGACAATAAAAGGAGACAAAAGGAGACACAAAAGGAAACAATAAAAGGAGACAATAAAGGGAGACAATAAAAGGAGACAATAAAAGGAGACAAGAAAAGGAGACAATAAAAAGGAGACAATAAAAGGAGACAAAAGGAGACACAAAAGGAGACAATAAAAGGAGACAATAAAAGGAGACAATAAAAGGAGACACAAAAGGAGACAATAAAAGGAGACAATAAAGACAGTAAATAAATAAAAAGGAGACAGTAAATAAATAAAAAGGAGACAAAAAGGAGACAATAAATAAAAAAAAGGAGACAATTAATTACCTTAAATATATATTTATTTATTTATTTATCTTGTATAAGAAATAAAATACATAAAAATATACAGAAAAAAAAAGGGAATAAATAAAAAAAAAAGGAGACAATAAATAAATAAAAAGGAGACAGTAAATAAATAAAAAAGAGACAGTAAATAAATAAAAAGGAGAAAATAAATAAATAAAAAGGAGAGAATAAATAAATAAAAAGGAGAAAATAAATAAATAAATAAATAAATAAATAAATAAATAAATAAATAAATAACTAAATAAATAAACAAATAAATAAATAAATAAATACCTTAAATATATATTTATCTTGTATAGATTTAAATCTACCTGCAAAGATAGCAAAGAAATCAGGAGACTTGGGGTGTATATCCAGGTATATAGTATAATAATATAATTGTCTCCTTTTTTTTTTTTTATTTATTTTTTTTTTATTTAATAAATAATATAATATATTTCTTCTTTCTTTTATTAATTTATTACTTAATAAATAATATAATTGTCCCTCTTCTTTCTTCTCTCCGTTACTTAATAACACCGGATACTTATATGCATCTCCTTCTAATCTAACCTATATACAAGCAGCAGCAGCAGCAGCAGCAGCAGCAGCAGCAGCAGCAGCAGATGCAGCAGATGCAGCAGTAGGTGTAGGAAAAGAGACAGAAAAGGAGACAAAAAAGGAGACAAAAAAAAGGAGACAAAAAAAGGAGACAGCAATATATATCTGTATAAGAGTCTATATATATCAACTAATGTGTCTCCTTTTACTGCATTTCTTGCTGCTGCTGCTGCTGCTGCTGCTGCTGCTGCTGCTGCTGCTGGATAAATACCTTAAATGTAGTAAGTACATCAGGTCTATCAATAAAAAAGGAGACTCTTTTTATGCCTGCAGGTTCGCATTGAGTAAGAAGGATACCATTAGATATAAATAGTCCCCTCTTGCTCCTGTTCTTATTGGGGTGTATATGCACCTCTAGCTGCAGCACAAAGGAGACACCTCCTGCTGCAGGTAATAAACCACTAGGTATTAATAAACTACCATCATCTAATAATTTATAACCTAACTCCTGTTGCTGCTGCTGCTGCTGCTGCTGCTGCTGCTGTTGCTGTTGCTGCTGCTGCTGGTGTTGCTGTTGCTGTTGTTGTTCCTGTTGTTGCTTCTGTTGTTGCTGTCCCTCCTCCCCCTCCTGCTTCTGTTGTTGCTGTGGTCCCTCCTGCTGCTGTTGCTGTTGCTGCTGTCCCTCCTGCTGCTGCTGCTGTTGCTGCTGTCCCTCCTGCTGCTGCTGCTGCTGCTGCTGCTGCTGCTGCAGTACTTGACCATTAAGTATAACTTGTTGTAGATGTAATTGTTCACCATCAAGCAACAAATCAACAGGAGATGAATTTAATGATCGATGCATTACAAGTCGTGAATATACCTAAGAAAAAAAAAAAAGGAGACACTTTTTTTTTTTTTTT